TGCTATGCTCAGAATCAAATTGAAAAACTTTTATTTGTGACAAAAACTTTGAATTGTAAATTGCGTGCTGATCGGCACGCAATTTCGTTTAAGGGATATTAAAATACAAATCTTCAGATAATCAAAATATAATAGGATTATTAAACCGGTATACATTATGTCGCATGTGGATGATGGCAAAAATTTGCTATGATCGTCATTTGAGTGACGTGAAAAATAAAAACCGCACGTCGCCCGAAAAGCAAACTATAAACATCCCATCTTTGACGAGGCAAACGCAAAACGTTCGTCATGGTGACATAACCTACCACAGTTATTTATTGTAATGGAAAACGGTCACTCGAATGACGTGGCAAATGCAAAATTCACGTCACTCGAATGACGAGGCAAATGCAAAACTCACGTCACAGCTAATAAGTAGGTAACAGTCTAATCATAAGTAGGTAACAGTCTAACGTAAGTAGGACGCAATATATATATATTGCGTCCTACTCAGACATTGAAGCATGCACACTACCTTGAATACTTTTACAGTCATTCTCACATTCCTTGTGTACACAAGGCTAATTTGACCTGCCACGCCCTATGGATACAATGATGTAACAGAATTCCAGGGGGTCCTGGAGTTTATCAAAGCTGCATCATCATCAAGGACACCTTCACTAATCTTCCCTCACAGCACCTGACCAGAGGATTTTTGCTTTTTGTTGGGCAATAGCACACTTTCATAATGCTTTCTTTTTCTAAAAATTTATTATTTTTCTTTCCTCTTGGTAAAATTTCATGGGTAGCACATTCTTTTCTTAGATAAGCTTCAAGTGTCTAAGTATCATTTATTTTGAAAATGTAAAGATCAAAATACTTCTAATGGCACTACTATTGATCCCTGAAATTCTTGGTAATACCAATGTTCACTTTGTCTAGTTTTGTTGCAGCATTGCCCATGTATAGTATTTTTATTATTATTTTAAAAATACTCATTAATTACACATTAAAATATAAATTTCATTTCCAATTTCATATTTGATCTCAACATTGAAATCAACAATAGATGGAAAATGATATAAAATTTTTTTTGGAATTACTATTATTTGTTAGTAATCAGCTGTGATCATGAATGAATCTATTCAGTCCCATTAAATCCAAATGTCTAAAAACACAAAAAGAGAAGATTAAATATATATTTTTTAAGGAAAATATTATATACAGAAAGGTTCTTTTTACGGAATATACAGAACCTACCAAAAATGGCAATTCATTCTACAAAAAAGGAAACTAAATTGTAGCTCAAAATTTTTTGTAAAACCTACGTGACATTTATCGATGATGTGATGATTAAATTTGTGGGCTGGGAGTGGCAGGGATTACAGAGTTTTTAGCAACTCTAAGACTTAATTCTTATTTGTCACATAGGTTCTGTATATTTCATAAAAAGAACCTTTCTGTATATAATTTTACCCATTTTTTAATATGTTCACTATGTCATACGTGTATACACTCACTAGACAAAAGTTGGGCGCATTTTTAAACAAAAATTGCGCAAAAACATACTTAATAATAATTAAATAGAAAACATTGTTTTGCAACTTAGGTTCACCAAATTATATATGCAAAATTTCACATCTTTAATGTTTTTATTAAACCAATGATTAAAAAAAGAAAATTTCGACCAAAATTTTTTTCACAAAACAGGATCACCAAAATTGACTATTTTTTTTTTCTTCAAAAAAAAATGATTGCTGAAAAATATAGTCATACCCAAAATTTAAAATTCGATAAACAAAGTAAATAATAATATTAATATCTTGTTGGCCATCCACTATTTTCAATGACTGCTTCATCTCTCCTTGGCATACTCTCAATCAATTTAATCAGGACATCATTTGTTAATTTAGGACGGCCACTTCGATTTTTTGTAACGAGATCTCTTCTATCAATGTAATTTTGAATAGTACGAGTCGCTGTTTTCCTATGAACACTAACAATTTTAGTTATTTTGTGGTTTGGTACATTATTTTTATATAGACCGATGATTTCACCACGTTGACTTTCACTTAAGGGTTACATTTTGAGTTTAAAATTTTTCAAAAGAATTGTTCAAAAATTTATTAAAAATGATGTTTGTTTACAAAAAAATTCAAATCAACATAGATACTTATTCAAGACGTTTGTTATCACATGCCAAAAATTCGAGCTTGGTTATTAAATACGATTTTGTTCAATTAAATTTTTTTTTGCCAGAAAAATTTTCGGAAAAATTTTTTGGTCGGATTTTTTATTTTTTTAACTGTTATTTTTTTAGGCATAATAAAAGTTTTAAATTTTGCATGCAAAATTTTGAGAACCTAGGCTACAAAATGATATAAGTTATTTGTGTTTTTATTGTGTGCGTTTTTGCGCAATTTTTGTTTAAAAATGCGCCCGACTTTTGTCTAGTGAGTGTATGTCACAAATTAATGTGACATGAAAAATTCCCACTATACTATAATTGAGAATAATTTATAATATATTGTTTACACACGTGACAAACGTGACAACACATTACGTGTTTTTGTTCCAATCATATTACAGGATTAAAATTTAATTAAAAAAATTTTAAATCCAAAAAAAAAAATCAATCTAATTTTTTTTTTCAAAAAAAAAATAATATGTCGAAATTAATGTTAAATTTTAATAATCAATTTTTTTATTATTTAGATTTTAATAAAATATTTTATTCTATAAAAAATTAAAAAAAATGCTTCAAATTTCAAATAAACGTATCAATAAAATGGATCAAATAATAATAGACGAAGAATTTGATTATATGGAAATCGATAATAACGAAATAGACATTGGTGTTTTTAATAACAATAATTTTAATTTCAATAATAATAATAATAACAATAGTAATAATTTTATTAATGATAACGTTAATAATAGTGATAATAGTAATAGCAACAATGATAATTTTACTATTAATAATAATGTTGATATTGACGATGAAGTAATAGATGATGATG